AAAGACATTTGGAAAACAGTTACCTGGTTAACAACTAGAAGTCATCCATATTTGTGCCCATTCCAAAGAAAGGTGAGCCAGTGGAATGCAGAAATCATCAAACAATATCATTAAGATTACATGTAAGTAAAATTATGCTGATGATCATTCAAAAACAGTTGCAGCAGTACATTGACAAGGAACTCCCAGAAATTAAAGTCAAATTCAGAAGAGGATATGGAAGGGGATATATCACTGCTGATATTATCTCTGAAGTCCTGGTGTGGCACTGTGGGTTAATGCGCTAGACTGCAAAGTCAGTTTGAACTGCAAGGTTGGTTGTTCAAGTTCACCAGTTGCTCCATGGAAACCCTATACAGGGTCGCTATGGGTTAGAACCAACTCAATGGCACTTAACAACAACAACAACAACAACAACAACAACAACATACCTTTTCTGAAGTCATATGGACCTTGGATGAAAGCAGAAAATACCAGAAAGATATTTCCTTGTACTTTATTGACTACACAAAGGCATTTGACTTTGTGGATCACAACAAGCTTGAATAAAATTCTAAAAAAGGGTATTCCAGAACAGATTCTTTTTTAGCATCTACAGAGTTCCAGGCTCTGTGCTGGGCGCCAGGAATTCAGGGATAAGTGACAGAACTGCTGCCCTAAAGGAGCTCATATCCTACTCACATAATTAGGACCCTCTACATAGATGAGCTCAAGGAGCTCTGGTAGCGTAGTGGTTACAAATCAGGCTGCTATCCTCAGGGTCAGCAGCTTGAAACTACCAGCTGTTCTGCGGGAGAAAGATGAGGCTTTCTGCTCACGTAAAGATTTACAGCCTCGGAAACCCTGTACAAGTCGCTATGGGTTGGAACCGACTCCATGGCACATAATAACAACATAGATGAAGGGACTCCTGGTGTGGCAATGTAGGATCAATATTGGACTATGAGCTATAAGGATGGCAGTTCAAACCTATCAGCTGCTCCTGAGAAACCCTATACAGGGTTTCTATAAGTCGGAACAACCTCAAAGGCACTTAACAACAAGATAGACCAAGAGGCAGTAGTTAGAACAGAACAAGGGCTATTGAATGGTTTAAAATCAGGAAAGGTATGTGTCTGGATTGTGTTTTCATCTTACTTATTCAATCTGTATGTTGAGCATCTAACCTGAAAAGCTGAATTATACGAAGAAGAACATGGCATTACGATTGGAAGAAGGCTCCCTAACAACCTGCAATATGCAGATGATACAACCTTGCAAAACGAACAAATCCCAGTGTTAAAGTCCTGTACACATTATCTGCATGCTCTAATACAATAATTTAGTGGGAATTAAGAAGATTTAGGACTCCTAGTGCGATGCTGCAGGATCATAATGGACCATGAACAACAAGGTGGGCAGTTCAAACCCACTGCTCGCTACTCCTTGTAAACCCCATACAGGGTTGCTGTGAGTCAGAACCAACTCAATGGCAGTTAACAAGAAGAAGAAGACTTTGGATAGAAAAGAAAAGCCATGTACAGTAAATTCATGGTACCACAGTTGTTAACTCATTTATCAGTTTGTCATACTGTGGTGGCTTGTGTGTTGCTGTGATGCTGTGGCATTGGTATTTCAGGGTCATCCATGGTGGACAGATTTCAGTGGATTTTCCAGACTAACACAGACAAACAAGGGCCTGGTGATCTACTTCTCAAAACACTGGCTAGTACTGTCTATGGATAACAGTGGAGCACTGTCTGATACAGTACCAGTACCAGAGAATAAGTCCCTCGTGCTAGAAGACACTAACAATAGTACTGGGAGGAGCTGCCTCCTCAAAGGAGAGTTGTGCTGGATGATATGGGGGAAATAAAGCTTTTGGAGGACTTCAGTTGCTGATGTGGTACATTTCAGGAAAAGGTGAAACAACTGCAAACATTCTTTAATAATGAGAACATGAATGTGTTGTGGTTTTTAAGTGCTGACTAGTTGATTCTGACTCATATTGACCTTGTATAGAGTTTCAAGGAGTGGTTGGTGAGTTTGAACTGCCAATATTGAAATTCAAACTGACCTTATGGCCCAGTGCTTATCCTACAGCAGCCCTCCAGAACTCTGAACATGAATAGACAAGTAGGAATCTAGGAAAGTTGGAATTTGTAAAAAATTAAATGGAATGCTTGAAGATTGATATTCTAGGAATTAGTGAGATGAAATGGACTGGTATTGAATTTGACAATCCTATGGACTACTATAGGAGCTCTGTTATCGTAGTGGTTACGAGTTGGGCTGCCAACCACAAGGTCAGCAATTCTAAACTATCAGCGGTTCCATGGGAGAAAGATGAGGCATTCTGCTCCTGTAAAGATTTACAACCTAGGAAACCTTGTGCAGGGTCACTATGAGTTGGAAACGATGTATAGCGCTGTTGGATAAGCACTGGACTGCTAACTACAAAGTCAGCGGATCAAACTCTCCTGCCGTTCCTCGGAAACAATATACAGGACCACTATGAGTCAGAACCCACTCAACAGCACTTAACAACAACAATAACAACAAAGCAGGACATGGAATGAGGGCTGTCACTTCTGGTGTAATATAGATATTGGCTGAAGGAGAGACTGCCAGACAGATGTTTACTTGTATTTCATTGACTATGCAAAAGCATTAAACTATGTGGATCGTAGCAAATTATGGATAACTTTGTGAAAATTAGGAATTCTAGAACACTCCATTGTACTCATGTGGGATCTATACATAGACCAAGAGGCATGCATCAGGGTTGTACATTTTCATCATACTTACTCAATATGTATGCTGAGCAAATAATCTGAGAAGCTGGACTATATGAAGAAGAATATGACATAAGGATTAGAGGAAGTTTCATTAACAACCTGTGATATGCAGATGAAAAGCCTTGCTTGCTGAAAGCAAAGAGGAATTGAAGGATTTACTGATGAAGATCACAGATTACAATCTTTTGTATGGATTACATCTTTACATAAAGCAAGCACAAATCCTCATAATTGGACCAATATGCAACATCATGATAAATGGAGGAAATATTGACGTTGTCAAGGATTTCATTTTACTTAGTCTGCAATCAGCACCCATGGAATCAGCAATCACAAAATCAAATGACATATAGCATTGGACAAATGCTACAAAAGACCTCTTTAAAGTGTTTCAAAGATTATCACTTAGAGGACCAAGGTGTGTCTGACCGAAGCCATAGCATTTTCAATTGCCTCACATACATGTAAAAGCTGGACAATGAATAAGGGCGAAGGAAAAAGAACTAGTACTTTTGAGTTATGATGATGTGGGCTAAGAATATTGAAAGTACCATGGATTTTCAAAAGAACAAACAATTCTGTTTTGAGAGAAGTATAATCAGAATGATCTTTAGAAACTAGGATGGTGAGATTCATCTCAGGTACGAGGGACTTCAAAAAGTTAGTGTAAAAATTCCATTATATTTTCAATTGCATTTTTCATGAACTTTTTGCAGCCCCCTCATACTTTGCTCCTTGGAGGCCAAGATGGCCAAATTTGGTCTCTCATACTTCAGACATACTGTCAAGAGGGACCAGTTGCTGGAGAAGGATATCATATTTAGTAAGGTGGAGGGTTAGAGAAAAAGAGGAAGACTCCCAGCGAGATGGACTGGCCAAGTGGCAGCATCGATGGACTCAAGCATGGCAACAATAGTGAGGTTGGTCTAGGATCAGGCAGTGTTTCGTTCTACTGTGCATAAGGTCATTATGAGTCGGTACCAACTCAGTGGCGCCTAACAACAACATACTTGGGAAATGTTATCAGGAGGGACTAATTCCAGCAAAAGGACATCATGCTAGGTAAGGTAGAGGGTCAGCAAAAAAGAGGAATCTCCTCAATGAGATGAGATGACACTGTGCCTCAAACAATAGATACAAATATAGCAAAGACTGAAAGAATAATACAGGACTGGGCAGTGTTCCATTCTAGTTTACTTAGGATTGTTACAAGTAGGAACTGACTCGACTGCACTTAACAACAATACAGGTTGTTTCACTATTTTTTCTTTCTATTTCATATTTAACCAGTCATAAAAGTCTCTTTATTTTCCTTCTCGGCCTTAACCAGAATTACCCTTTAAATGGCCATTGATTTACATTTCTATTAAAGAATAGCTAATGTCAAAATTATTTTTAATCAAGTTTCTAATTTGGTAGCATTTAACATGAAGATAACACTGCATTTTATGATATTTTATTTCTTTATACCTTTACCAGTCCTATATCCCAAAGGAGATTTCTGGATACACCATTTTGAGTGCAAGGACAGTTCTCATTTGAGTAACACTGCACATTGTATAAAGGATTTATTTTTAACACCCCCCATTAAATTTTTGTTAACTATTTGATGAATCAGCAGAACCACTAAGATCATTTCTCACCTAGAAAGACTAAAAGGAGAAATACATTTCTGTAATTTCTTCATTCCAAAAAGTAACATTTTATGTTTCAAAAGCTCAGTCTTGAGTGGCTATTAATGTTAATATGTGATGTTTAATTAAGATTAAGCCAGGGCTGAAAATGCAGAATCGAAGCTTTTTAGAACAACTCTCTTTAATCTGGTTTTTAAGTTTTGTTACCTTTTCTGTGTTTTGAATAATGAAGGTGTCAGCAATTATACCTTCCCAGCGGGAGAAAGATGAGGCTTTCTACTCCCGTAAAGATTTACACCCTCGGAAACCCTGTACAGGGTCGCTATGGGTCGGACCCGACTCAACGGCACTTAACAACAACAACAACAACAAGTATGGCAACAAAGTTTTTAATTCCTATCTCTCTCTCTCTCTCTCTCTCTCTCTCTCTCTCACACTCTCTCTCCTGCTCTCTCACACACACACACACACATACAGTGACATACACCCCTCTGCCTTTTCTCAAGCTGTTTTTTGCTCACTTTGTCCACCTTTCCAGTTAGTTGCCCTTGGTCTCAGGTTCCTACCCTCTCCTCTCCCAGGTACTCACAGAGTCTGTGTACTGGACGGCAGGCTGGGGATGTCATGGATATCCTTGCAGGTGACTCTGAAGTCGTCCTCTTGGTGGCACTCACAGGGCGGAGAGGAACATTCCTTTCCCCCCAGGCTCCTGGGCAGGGCGAGTAGCAGCACGAGCTGCAGCAAGGGCTTCTGCATCATTTTCCAGGACCCCCTAGGTCGGTCACTACTTCATCCTCTGCTACTGCTCCATTCCCAGCCCAAAGCGCCTCTGGTTACCCAGGGCTGGAAGGAGGGGCAAAAGAAAGGAGGGCTTTACAGAAGCTCTGACCTCACCTCAAAAGAGGAGGCTGGAGAGGGGGAAGAAGAGAATCTTAAGTGCTCTGTTTCCCTAGGCAACTCTCCACCCAAACAAGCTACTTGCTTCACGTCCCTTGATCTGAGCCACGTAGCTCGAGCTCCCTCTGTTCCCTGGTCCCTAACACCAGTCCAGGCTGTTCCCTCTGCTTTCCAACATTACCTACTTTGTGGTTACTATTTCCTCTTGCTCCACGTGTTCCTCCAGTCAGTTCACTCCGAAGCCTGGTTTAGGCTCTCTTTCCCACCAAATCCAGACCCATCTTTCCGGTGGGTAATGCCTACAAGCGCTGCCGGTCCTGTACCCATCCACCCACCCGAGCTCACACTCTATGGAAAGTCTCTACAGGACCCTGCTCAGAGCAGTCCGGGAGGGGACAGTCTCCGGCGGAATGCTGTCCTGCAGAACTCGAGTTCCTCTGGCCTAAAACGCCTCTGCTGAGAGTCTGAGAGAGCACTGACCAAGCCCGGGTGCACCCGAAACCAGGGCGTGATGCTCCAGCAGGTCAGCTCTGCTCAGCAACTTCAGCACTACCAGAGGACTGCTCCACGCGAACAGCCAATCTCACACAGAAATCGCCGCTAGGAGTCGCCTTATGGCGCACATTGCTTCGGGTAAAGCCGTAGAAGGCAGGTCAAGAATTGGGTTGTGGTGCCATCTGCTGTGGAGAAATGAGAATGACCGAATTCACAGGGGCCTTGAGTGGAATTCTGAATTCAGCTCTGAGAAAGGAGTCCTGGAATCCTAGTGTGGCGCTGTGGGCTAATGCGTCAGACTGCAAAGTCGTTTGAATTTCAAGGTTGGTGGTTCAAGCTCACCAGCTGCTCCTTGGAAACCCTATACAGGGTCTCTATGGGTCGGAATCGACTTGACGGTACTTAACAACAACAGGAGTTCTGGTAGCGTTGTGGATTACGAATCTGGCTGCGAACCTTAATCAGCAGTTGGAAACTACCAGCTGTTCCGCGCGAGAAAGATGAGACGTTCTGCTCCCGTAAAGATTTACAGCCTCAGAAACCTTGTACATGCTCGCTATGAGTCGGAACCGACTCCATGGCACATAACCAACCTACCAACCGTAGTTTGAAGCCAGGAGTCCTGATGTGGCGTTGTGGGTTAATGCGCCAGACTACAAAGCCGTTTGAACTGCAAAGTTGGCAGTTCAAACTCACCAGCTGCTCCTTGGAAACCCTATACAGGGTCTCTGTGGGTCGGAAGCGACTCGACAGCACTTAACAACAACAACAACAGCGTAGTTTGAAGCCAGCCTGCAATTTCTGCCATCAAGTCAATTCTGACCCAGCATCGTATTGAGCCATTGTCACCAGAAGATGGGAAGAAAAGGAATACTTAAGTGGCACACCATCACGTACTCATTTCTCTCATAATAGCCAAATGGTTATCATATTCAAAAAATATGAATCAGATTGTGCCCATTTCCCTCTTGGTAGCAGTTATGTGCCATGGAGTTGGTTCCGACTCACAATGACCCTGTATAGGGTTTCTGAGGCTGTAAATCTTTGCAGTAGCAGAAAGCCTCATCTTTCTCCCGTGGAGCCGCTTGAACCACAAATTTCAGAAGTAGTGAAAATCCTCTTGAAGCAGATTATCTCCAAGTTTGGACTTCCAAAAAGTGTCCAAGATGACAGCTGAGCAGCAAACATCTACAGATGAAATGGAGATTGCATTCAGCATGGAGGTTCAATCTTCTCCTAATTATCTGGATGCTATTTAGGAAACCCTGTACAGGGTCGCTATGGGTCGGACCCGACTCGATGACACTTAACAACAACAACAACAACAATTTATTGATCCAGTGGTGAGATTTTTGTTTTCTTTTCATTGAGAAGCTACTGGTACTGCTCTTCATCAGTATTTTAAGTCCTCTGCTTTCAACATGCAAGGTTGTATCATTTTCATATCACAGGTTGTTAATGAGTCTTCCTCCAATCCTGATGTCATGTTCTTCTTCATATAATCCAGTTTGGGGAGTATTTGCTCAGCATACAGATTGACTAACTATGGTCAAATAATACAACCCTGTTGCACACTTTTCCTAATTTTAGACCATTTAGTGTCCTCTTGTTCTGTTTGAAGACTGCCACTAGGTCTATATACAGATTCCTCATGAGCACAATTAAGTGTTCCAGAGTACTCATTCCCTGTAATGTTGTCCATAATTTGTCATGATCCACACAATCAAAAGCCTTTGCATAGTAAATAGAAACACAGGTAAACATCTTTTTGATATTCTCTTCTTTTAGCCAAGATCCATCTGACATCAGCAATGATACCCCTCGTTCCACGTCCTCATCTGAATCTTGTACCCCATCAGTGTACTGTTGCAGCCATTTAAAAATCATCTTTAGCAAAATTTTACTAGTGTGCAACACTAATGATATGATTTCTGCATTTGGGTCACCTGTCTTTGGAATGGACACAAATATGGATTTCTTTTCATCAGTTGGCCATGTAGCTGTCTTAGAAATTTCTTGGTATAGGTGAATGAACGCTCCCAATGCTGCTTCAGTTTACTGAATCATTTCAATCTTTATTCAATCAGTTCCTGAAGCCTTGTTCTTTACCAGTATCCTCAGTGGAATGTGGTCTTCCTTCAGTACCACTGGCCTTGATCATAAGCTACCTTTTGAAATGGTTGAACATAGACCATTTCTTTTTGGTACAATGACTGTGTATTCCTCCATCTACTTTTGATGCTTTCTTCATCATTCAATATTTTGATCATAGAATGCTTCAATATTGCAAGTCAAAGCTTGAATTTTTTCCACAGTTCTTTCAGCTTAAAAATAGTCAGTGTGTTTTTCTCTTCAGGTTTTCTAACTCTAGTTCTTTGCACATTTTATTATAATGTTTGACTTTGTCTTCTTGAGCTGACCTTCGAAATTTTCTATTCAGTCCTTTTACCTCTTCATTTCTTCCATTTGCTTTAATATCTCTGTGCTGGAAGCAAGTTTCACTGTCTCTCCTGACTTCCATTTCAGTCTTTTCCTTCTTTCTCATCTTCTTAATGACCTTTTACTTTCTTCCTGAATGATGTTCTAGATGTCATCTCACAGCTCTTCTGGTCTTCAATCATTAGTGTCTAATGCGTCAAATCTGTTCTTCAGATGATCTCTAAATTCAGGTGGAATATGTTTAAGGTCATATTTTGGTTCTCATGACTTGTTTTAATTTTCTTCAGCTTCAGTTTGAATATGCATATGGACAATTGATGGTCTGTTCCACAGTCTGCCCCTGGCCTTGTTGTCACTGATGATATGGAGGATTTCCA